ACAACAAGCCTGGTATTAATTTCAATGTCCATGTCTCACTGTGTAGTATGATGATTGAAAGCAGCAGGCACCCAAAAATGCAGAGTGGTCTGTCAAAAAGGGTCAGTGGATGCTGCAATGGCTGGGAATGAGATGCTCTGAAAGACCTGGCAGGACAGATGGAAAAAAGTCCCAGAAAGGAAGCCAAGAGACAGAGGAGATGCTTTAAGATGTATTCAAGGAAGCTGTTTCGTAGAATTTTCATAGAATCAACTGGGTTGGAAACAGGCACCCAAAAATGCAGAGTGGTCTGTCAAAAAGGGTCAGTGGATGCTGCAATGGCTGGGAATGAGATGCTCTGAAAGACCTGGCAGGACAGATGGAAAAAAGTCCCAGAAAGGAAGCCAAGAGACAGAGGAGATGCTTTAAGATGTATTCAAGGAAGCTGTTTCGTAGAATTTTCATAGAATCAACTGGGTTGGAAAAGACCTCCAAGATCACCAAGTCAAGTCCTTTGATGTTACTAGACCATGGCACTAAATGCCTCATCCAGTCTCATCTTGAAAACCTGCAGAGATGATGAATCCACTGTCTTGGTTACATCCAAGAAGGAGGATCAGCATTCCACATCTCCAGCCCATTAAGCAGATTTTTTGCAGTGCTATAACATACATACCTCAACTTAAAATGTTACCTTTACCCTAGAAAAAGCAATGCAGATTTAAAATTTGAGTAATTTATTTATTCCAATAAGTATTTATGTTAAAGTGGATATCAGAGACTGGATATTTCAGAGACTGTAAGGTGGCATAAAAGGCTTATACTATATCTGATGTAACATCTAGACTAATAAACAATAGATTAGTAAATTAAATTGAGCCCAGCTACAGTCCTGGGAACTCAGATCTGCAGCAATAAATTTCTGGGGAAGTCTTGGGCTCTCCCAGAAAATCCTGAGCAGGACTTGGTAGCTGCAGCACCCCAGGGACTGGTTCCCATCTGCTGGGGAGAGGAGGAGACTGGGTGTGAGCAGTCCCATATCAGTTGGCCTCTGTGCCCAGCAGCAGTGTCCAGCAGGTTACATTAAGTAATAAAAAGGGCAGGAGGGGAACTCTAGGTTTCCTTCAGTCTTAAGAATGTAAAACCTGGGCTTAAAACCAAAGAACTGTGGTTACTATTTCCCATTCTGCAAAAGAAAAGTGCTGGAAGAACAGGCCTTGTGCCTCTCTCTTCTGATACTCTCTCAGTTTATAAAGCATATGAGGAACCCTGCAGAAAGGTAAATATCCATGCCAAGTATAATAGTGAATAAATTGCAGTTTCAGTTGAGCTTTTCATGAGGTGCAAAAAATACTATTTTAGGTACCTATTCCCTTTATATTGTAGCACGAATATTTTCCATGTGTGGACTCATCTAATGCAGTCCGTATGCATTTTATAGCACACTGTAGTCATGGTAACTTCCAGCCCATTTTAAATAGCTGATGGCAGAAATCCACTCTGCATAGAAGTGGAATGGAATTTGGAGATTCCAAGGCTCAGTGCTGGTAGAACTGTTGAATACACTTTGGCAAATTGATTTGTATCTTTCCAGGAATACTGTTTTCACAAATAACTGTGTAAGGAGCATTCAAAAGCAGCAATTAGTACTGAAAAAGAGGAACAATAGCAACCAAATGAAGTCTCCTGAAAGGAAATGCTGCAGGCATAGAGTAAGCACTTGACAATCAAGATAGGATGACTGGGTGAGCACAGCTATGTGCCCTACCATGCTTACAGAATGAATAATACCCACTGAAGAGTATCACAGCTGACAGGTGAAGAAATCCCTGTCTCACTGTCAGCCTTGCAGATCTAGTTTGGGAAAGCTTAAAAACATTTTAGAGCTTTAAAAACCTACTGTATTTTGCAGTCTTTCTTAAAATAGTATGTTTGGGCTGTCTAACCACCATGCAGTCCTAAAGCATAAAACAAAAACAAACAAAAAAAAAACCCCCTACCAAGGTGATTGTATTGTTCTGCTGCTACACTACTTAATTTTACATAGAAAAAATGAATTTCTACAGTGATGCTTAGCTATCTCCCCATTAAAAATGGCATTAGTGACATCTCTGAAATATCAGAAACATTGAAGTTTGGAATAGTTGATCAGTCTGAAATAAATTTCATTTTACTTCTGTATTTCGTATGATTCATTTTCTCAAAACAAACCAGCAAAAAAGCAACTTGTATCATGTTCATAGATAACACTGCTGAGCAAATGCAGTTCTTCAGATATGTACCATGTTGTACTCAGAATTTTCTCCCTTCCTCTTGGCTTCCCTCGAACCACATTCAGGATATAAACTATTTGCCTTCAGTTCAGGATGGGAGAGGAAGTTTTGTTTCCCTTGTTTAGTCCTGGCTTGGAAAGGAAGTAGTTTGCCTTCACTACGCTGTGTGCAATTGCACTTTTATCAAGACCTTCTTGCCAACTCTTGCATGAAGGTGTGCCTGCTGCTTAAAACAGGTAAGATCTCCATAGGCTTCACTCAGTTAACCTTCAGCTGGGCTAAATTTTTCCCTTATAGGTTCACTTGATGATTGTAGGTTTGCCTTACATGCTTACATGGCTTTAGCAGAGCTTGGATTTGGAAACTCCTGTAATATTTTAAGAAGCAAAGGATGAATTAACGCATCAAATACTTTTTTTTTCCCTTGCAGATAGCAGCAGTGACAAAGTTAGTATGAACAGCACTGGACTTGAGTCATGGTCGTTTTTCCTGTTGGAATAAGCAGCATGTATTCTTGTTTTGCAAAATTGCAGCTCTTACAGAGTTTCATATTTAAATTTTGCAAAACAGCTTCAGCTTTTCTTAGTGTAGTAAATTATTTTGTCTGCACTGGACATGATGTGATTTTGCTTTACTTTGTGCTACATTTTGCAACTTATTTTTATTCTACAAAACATTTGTGTGGTGTTTGTGTGTATTGATAAATCCTTGATGCACCTATGGTTCGTTGGTGTTGGTAATACAGCTAGTAAATGGTGAAATACAGTTTAAAAATAAACTTGGTTTGAGGGTTATAGAATGAAGGGCCAGGTACTGATTTTATACAGGAAAAATAAAACTAACATCCATATACTGTGATTTGTACATGTTGGAGATGATAAATATGAGGTCTTGTTGGCATGTCTTTTCTCCCTTTGCCTCAAGGCTGAATTAAAGGAGAGTCTGTCCTCTTGAATTTTCCTTTGTCTCTGGCACCACCGTGTTGCCTCAGTGAGTCATTACTAGTAGATTTAAACCTTTAAAATGGGACTAGTAGGAGCCACGAGTCAGCGGGATATTTTTTTTATACCACGTTGAACAAATGTGAAAAGACTACTTATTTCACTGTGGTAGTTGCTAGAATGCAGTCAGCTGCATGAAAATTACATTTTCATGTATTTCCACTCCTTTAGTTCCTGTTTTAATTTTCAGATTTTATTTTTGCTATTAACTGTTTGGATGCTGTACTTAATTTGTTTCTGTGCTACTTGTTCTTCATCCTGGAAATACCACTGTCTTTGTTTCTATACCTCTCTCTCTTTTAATAACTTTGATGTGTGATACATATACTTTACTATGTGTCAATTAATTCAATCTTGATATAATTTTATATCATACCTTTCACATTCTTTCAAGTGTTAAGTATTCTTTTAAGCTTAAGTATTTATTAATGCATTCCATTGAATGGGCCTAATTCTTACTAGTTGACAATTAATAATTTATATCATTCTCACTCATATTTTCCACCGTCTTTCACCAGAAATATTTTTGATGTTAAAAGTACAGTGAGGAAGTAGTGACAAAAATAAAAGTGACTTTTAAAGTTTTATTGGGTTTTGGATTTTAGTAATTATTGGAAGTTCTATAGGAGTTCTATAGTAGTTCTATAGGAGGTAGTTTTGCACAGTTTATCTACTGTAAATTATGTAAAAATAAGTGTACATTTAGAGAGTCTGAAAGATTAATGCTTTGGGATAACAAATACAGAATTTAGCATTAATTTATATAGTTTGAGTCTTCTGTTCTCTTTCATAAAATGATCAGTGACATTACATGTTCTTTACATCAGTTACTGGAACCAAAGCTTTCAAATCCTGTATTCTTGCAATCTGTATCTGCAGGGATTGATTATAGCATGTAGATTACTG